AACATTTTAGACAGGGAAACAGATAACCCAATTAATGTCAAGTAAACAAAAAAAAATTGTTTAAAATTTGTTTATAAGTATTAATCTTCTCCATTTTTGACATTTCAAGGAATTTGCTGTGATCAGTACTTTTACAGAGATATTTATCTTCCTTGGTTATCAAAGAGTTAATTTGTAAGTCAAATAAAAATCTTACAGAAATGTTTACTTACATGTTCGACCACCACAACATAAGACAACATCATTAACCCAATCAGTGTGATGTTCCATAGATAAAATATATGGGTCCTATAAAATGATATTAGTTAAATAGTTAATTATTATGCAAATATTTATTTTGAGCCAAAACAGTTTTGAAATATGTTTTTCCATGTTTTAAAGATATCAATAAAAGATTTAATATTATTAAGTACTTTCATGTTTTAATCTACAAATCAGTTTTACTCATTTAATTTAAATAAATGCATATAATAATAAAAATCAACAATAATATTAAGATAAATAATTAGTTTTTGATCTGTCTATAATTCCAGAATTAAATACCATTTAAACTAATTAATTGGAACAAAACAATGTTTCTTCAATCATTAAAATTCAATTATCCATTTAAATTTGGCCTCAAATAAAAACATTACTCTATGGTAGTTATGATACATTTTTTTATAATTTTCAAAAGATACTAGGGCATTGGTGGTGACCCTATCGATGCCTGCCCCAGCGCGCACACATAGCCCTCTCAGTTGGCATGCAAGCCAAGTCACCTCTGCATGCATTATACAGCAAAGATTGCATTAATTGTGCTACACCACACCAAATGTAACTTTTACATTTTAATGAAAAAATCTTTCAGTATCAATGAAAGCTATTATTGTTTTCTTTCTTAAAACAAGAGATCCTAAAGTATGAGATAGAAAATGAGAGAAAGTAAGTATTGGAAAACCTGAAATAAAGGACACAACAAAACAACAAACGTGTCAGAAAGAAGCCTTCTTCATTTAAAAAATAACAGTAAAAACAAGATTAAAAAAAATAAACACAGCTGCAATATAGTATCCGAGAGTACAGCAAAAGGTAAGTGACAGAACATAAGAAAGTGAGAGACTACATACCCGTAAAATGGGATGGTAAGAGAAGAAAAGTAAGTCCTCTGCGATTGATTGTAACGAGGAGAGGGCAGAGAAAATGTTTAACAAGTGAATGAGAACATCCCATTCATGCCATGTGGTGTCAAGATTCCATAAGTTTGAATTAGTTTGTTTTTCAAATTCACCCCATTTGATGTGTTTTTACAAGAAACAATGGCAGTGATAGCAAAATCTTCTGGTCCCTGCTATTGAAGGGTTTTGAGATGGCAAACTGCTTATCTTGTGCAATATTACAGAGGTCTCAGTATATCTGTCAGAGAAGCTGTGTCCAGTTTCACCTAGATATGCCATCTGGCAGACGGTGCAAACAATGGAGTAGACATTAGAAGCAACTGTTATTTGTTTGCTGAAAAAGGCATCTTGCAGATACGTTTGTTGTTTTGTTGCATCCTTTTTTTCAGGTTTTCCCATACTTAATTTATTTCCTTTTACTTAACCTGATTGCAGTCTCTTCCCCTTATTTCCATAATGTATTGACTTGTTATGTTTAAAACAAGAATCTAACTATTCAGGTTTAATTGCAGTTTTTAATTAAAAACTATTTTGATGTCAAAAAGAACATTGTTCAAGATACCACACTCCAAAATTAAACATTTAGTGTTACCTTATTTGTTCGTGTGTTCCAAATTCTTATTATGGAATCTCTGCCAGCTGAGTACAATCTATTGAGAGCAGGATCAAACTGTAAAGCATTTACACCTGATCTGTGGCATCGTTCTACTTCGTCACGAATTACAAAAGAGACCTTAAAATATATATGATATTTGATTTTGATCAATATGTAACTTGGCAATTATGCTTTTATTTCAAACCAACTTAACATAACTAAAGTTAAGAAGTGATTGGATACGGTGCAATGAGCCCCAGGTATAACTCCATTTCGCAAGGTGCTATTTGTATTATTTTCATTTGCAAGTACAATAATTTTGACACTTAATTTCCACTCTTTTCACAAAAAAAGGGGATTATCATTCGATCACAAATAAAATGATAGAAACATTTAAAAATAGTCAATAATTGCAGTATGCAGTGTATAAAACCTGCTGCTGAGACGTATGGTGAGGGTAGGGCCGACTGCAGTTATTAGATGTAGAAGGTCTTGATGTATTTCTGAATCTGAGGGATACAAAAATTTCCTACATTCATTCAGATTCATTCTGAATATGAGTAAGGAAACATTTCACCTTGCAGTCTGCCCTCTCTACCCATCATATAATTATATGCAGTATGGCGGTTCCATGCTTAGGCTAAGACGCATTGTGCCCTAACTAACACTAACACCTGCCTAAAAGTTAGGTCTACACAGTACACAAATTAAAAAGTATTATTTTTTGGTCAATTTCCGCAATCCACACCAAGATGAGTTGCTGTGTAGGATTCTCTCCCGTTTTTTTATTCTTGGATTGTTAGTAAGAGTTAACTTTTCTTTCATACGACAATGGAATGTTTTAAATTAAAATTTCATTTGCTGGTTAATTATAATATTTAAATTTTCCAGCATTTTGGAAAATGGGTATTGTATTGTATTGATTTTATGACAACTTTTAGATTTTCCCTTGGGTGGAACCTTAATTAAAGTGTGTAAAAGTGTATTTTATGAAACTGTAAGCTGGGTTTTCATTATTTTAAAATTATTTGTATCGGTTTTCTTCATTTTCAAACTTTTATTACAACAGTGTGACACTGTGTGTAATTGTAGCTGCATACATGCTTTAGTTGAGGGAAGGGAGCATGCTCCGCTGAAATTACACCAGTGTCTAAAAGCAATAACAATGAATGTCATTACTATCCAATTCAAATAATTCAAGTGCCAAAAATTGATGATGCCAACTGTTGAGACCCGCTGGTCCTCACCTTTGTGAGACCCGCTGGCTCCACTCTCTCCATCGCTTCCCCACGCGTTCATCGCTACCCCACGCGATATGACACAATTAGGCTGGGCCTTAAAATAATAAAAGTAGACTCAAATAACAATGGAAAGTAACTTATTCACTTTGGCCATGACCCAGTTTAAGCAATACACTCATTCTTGTCGAGCGTCCCAACTCTGAGTTGTCACTCTGATGACC